AGAGAACCACTCTGCTAACAGGACCATGTTGCTAATGGGACCATGTTACTAAGAGAACCTCACTGCCAACAGAACCACTTCGCTAATAGGACCATGCTGCTGTAGATGCATTTCTTTTTCACTTTTGGCGCCTTGTTTTTAGTATTTTTGTTGCATGCTTTGTTTTTTCTGGTCGTTGTTGTATTTATTTATTTATTTTATTTTATTGGCGAGTCGAGGCGGTTCTTCTCATCCTCAGCATTTAATAATAATAATAATAATGTCATCACAATGTCAGCACTGTATGTTTCCATACAATGGCGAAATTAGTCTCTGCATTTAACCCATCCACCACCAGGTGGTGCAGTGGGCAGCTATTGAAAGCGCCCGGGGGACATTTTGGGGATTAGACGTGCTGCCCAGAGACGCCACGTGATGTGCAGTGACTGGGGATCGAACCTGGGACTCTCGGGTCCCAAGCCGGCTGCCCTGCCTCTACACCATCTCGGCCCCATTTCATTGCATTGTTGACCTTATGTTGATCTGCATGTGACAATAAACCCAAACTTAAACCCCGTGGGGTCAACCCTATTGATCATGGCCGCCACAGATAAGCAACTTTATAAAATACAGAAGTGTCTGGTATTCATCCTCGATGTTGACTTAAAATTTTGTATGGTAGTTACTACGACTGATTCCCATCACATATTCTGAGCACTAACACTTTTAAATTTTTGTCATTACCTTTTTGAAGTAAACTATGTCTGTTAGCAAAATATTAAATAAACCACAACATGAATTTTAATTTATTCTTTAAGAATTAATTACTAGATCCACATCTACAAGTGATTCACTTGTAAACCAATTTTATGATGTTAACCTTATCACAAACAAGAATGGTTACAACTCAGTCAGTTTTACAAATAGTAGGCTACAGTTTGATATGGTAGTAGCTGAGAGTCATTCTCAACACATAGTCAGAGCACATCTCGTGACATCGTGCATAATGTTATTTTCAACGTTCGACCAAAACGGCTACAGCTGTTAGTTCTTACCATAAGGTGAACATAGCCTAAAACTAAGACATGAAACAAGGCAGGCAAAATGCATTCAAGGAATATTAAGTTTGTTTTTGTGGCAAGGCTGCTAAATAAAAAATAAAAAAAGATTAATAAAAAATGATAGACAACATGAAACAATTCTGATTTGTCCGTGCGGTTAATGTCAACGAGCGCCTGAAAAGGACAACTTGCAGCTTATGAGTAAAGACTTGCTGATCAGTAACCCAAATGGAAAGAGCCTGACGTTTTTAAAACACAGCGAGAGCTCAGAGGAACGATGCAGAGGGTTTAGACAACAATCAGGGAAAAATCAAATCTCCACCTCCTCCTGGTACAAACAGCACCCTCACATACAGTCTGAGACCAACATCTTCTGCGTTCAGATTTTCAATTTCAGATGAGCCACAGGGGCAAAAGCAGAATATATTAAGTATTGGAATTTCACTGGTAAAACAATTTTTGAGTTTTGAAATGTGTTAAGGAAGTATATAACACAGGCAGAAAGAAGTAAAATGAGCCCGTGCTTCTATGGCAAAACTATTTTTGAGTAAAACGCCAAATGAGCAGATTTTTTTTGTTGTTTTTACAGAAATAGTCTATAAATCTCTGAGGTATTTGTGAGCTACAATTGTAATTTTGTCCAATCGCACACAATTACTGAAGAAGTATCAAAGCAAATCAAACTAATAAGAATTTAATTGGATGAGAAAATTGTGAACTCCAAATTTGCTCCTCTAATCAGAGAAGCTTTCGTTTGGTGAAGATGTTTTCAGCTGGAATAGATGCGGCTTGTTTCTTAGTTTTTTAACACATAACAATTGTCATTGTCGCACAGAGAAATTATAGAGTTAAGTTATTTTAAAAATAAAAGGCATTGTTGTCTCTGTGATGGACTTGCGACCTGTCCAGAGTGTCTCCCACCTCACACAAAGTGCCAGGCACCAGCTCCCTGTGATCAGGAGAAGCAGGTAAAAGGAATGGAAAGATGATTTATTTAGCTTTATTTAAAAAAAAAAGTTCCACAGAAAAATATTGTCTCTTCTGATCCATTAGAAACATTGTTCTCTAACAGTTTCTTTTGCATTCTTGCTCTATTTTTGTTTTCTTGTGGTGCTTTAAGCGTTTGTCATGTTAATTAGATTTTAGCTACAATTATGCTCATTTTAGCATTTAGCTACAGTTTTGCTACTTTGAGCTTTTAACTCCTGTCATGCTAATTTTAGCATTCAGCTACAGTTTTGCTACTTTGAGCTGTTAA